GGGCAGGATTCATGGTGGGGAGGCAGGATTCATGGTGGGAGTGGCAGGATTCATGGTGGGAGTGGCAGGATTTATGATGGGAGAGGCAGGATTTATGGTGGGAGAGGAAGGATTCATGGTGGAAGAGGCAGGATTCATGGTGGGAGTGGCAGGATTCATGGTGGGAGAGGCAGGATTTATGGTGGGAGAGGCAGGATTCATGGTGGGAGAAGCAGGATTTATTGTGGGAGAGGCAGGATTTATAGTGGGAGAGGCAGGATTCATGGTGGGAGAGGCAGGATTCATGGTGGGAGAGGCAGGATTTATTTGAGGGGCTAGATTCATGGTGGGGAGGCAGGATTCATGGTGGGTGTGGCAGAATTTATGATGGAAGAGGCAGGATTCATGGTGGGTGTGGCAGGAATTATGGTAAGAGTGGCAGGATTTATGGTTCGAGAAGCAGGATTCATGGTGGGTGTGGCAGGATTCAAGGTGGGAGGGGCAGGATTTATGGTGGCAGAGGCAGGATTTATTCAGGGGCAGGAATTATGGTGGGAGTGGCAGGATTCATGGTGGAAGAGGCAGGATTCATGGTGGAGGTAGCAGGATTCATGGTGGAGGTGGCAGGATTTATGGTGGCAGAGGCAGGATTTATGGTGGGAGTCGCAGGATTTATGGTGTGAGTGGTCAGATTTATGGTGGTAGAGGCAGGATTCATGGTGGGAGAGGCAGGATTCATGGTGGGAGAGGCAGGATTCATGGTGGAGGTGGCAGGATTTATGATGAGAGAGGAAGGATTCATGGTGGGAAAGGAAGGATTTATGGTGGGAGAGGCAGGATTCATGGTGGGGTGTCAGGATTCATGATGGGAGAGGCAGGATTCATGGTGGGAGAGGCAGGATTCATGGTTGAGGTGGCAGGATTCATGATGGATGAGGAAGGATTCATGGTGGGAGAGGCAGGATTCATGGTGTGAGAGGCAGGATTTATGGTGGGAGAGGCAAGATTCATGGTGGAGGTGGCAGGATTCATAATGGGAGATGGAGTATTCATGGTGGGAGAGGAAAGATTTATGGTGGGAGAGGCAGGAGTCATGTTGGAGGTGGCAGGATTCATGGTGGAGGTGGCAGGATTTGTGGTGGGAGAGGCAGGATTCATGGTGGTGGCAGGATTCATGGTGGGAGAGAAAGGATTCACGGTGGGAGAGGCAGGATTCATGGTGGAGGTGTAGGATTCATGATGGGAGAGGGAGGATTCATGGTGGAGGTGGCAGGATTCATGGAGGTCGCAGGATTCATGGTAGGATTGGCAGGATTCATGGTGGAGATGGCAGAATTCATGGTGGGAGTGGCAGAATTTATGGTGGGAGAGGCAGGATTTATGGTGGGAGAGGCAAGATTTATGGTGGGAGAGGCAGGATTCACGGTGGGAGAGGCAGGATTCATGATGGAAAGGCAGAATTCATGGTGCAGGTGACAGGATTCATGGTGGGGCGGCAGGATTTATGGTGGGAGAGGCAGGATTCATGGTGGAGGTGGCAGGATTCATGGAGGTGGCAGGATTTATGGTGGGAGTGGCAGGATTCATGGTGGGAGTGGCAGGATTCATGGTGGGATTGGCAGGATTCATGGTGGAGATGACAGGATTCATGGTGGGAGTGGCAGAATTTATGGTGGGAGAGGCAGGATTTTTGGTGGGAGAGGCAGGATTTATGGTGGGAGAGGCAGGATTTATGGTGGGGTGGCAGAATGTATGGCGGGAGTGGCAGGATTTATGGTGGGAGTGACAGGATTTATTGTGGGAGTGGCAGGATTCATGATGGGTGAGGAAGGATTCATGGTGGGAGAGGCAGGATTCATGGTGGTGGCAAGATTCATGGTGGGAGAGAAAGGAATCACAGTGGGAGAAGCAGGATTCATGGTGGAGGTGGTAGGATTCATGATGGGAGAGGGAGGATTCATGGTGGAGGTGGCAGGATTCATGGAGGTGGCAGGATTCATGGTAGGATTGGCAGGATTCATGGTGGAGATGGCAGGATTCATGGTGAAGGTGGCAGGATTCATGGTGGGAGAAGCAGGGTTTATGGTGGGAGA